ATCTGTAAGTGAAAACACCATTCATTGTTTATAGTAATGCTGAAGTGATTAAATGGTAGCATTGCTTTCATAACGAAATTTTTTTCAGATTTTTCGTAATTTAGTAATTTACCGCTCACCATGTCTTCAACAAAAAAAGTATTTTTTTTTCGAAACAAACCACTTCTTCAAGCAAGAAATAGACTGGGTTTTCCTTTCAGCTTTACACTTTTTTACTGGTTTAGTTTCTTTGTGATACCCACTATGAAGTTGAATGTTTCAATTCGGAATGGATAATGTAATAGGAAGTAAACTGAGATAGGGAGTAACTAAATATTCTAATAGAATAGTGAATGTTTATTGTTAATATCTATTGTTATATCGTTTATTACCGAGTGTTTTAAAAATAAAATATAATAATTATTAATATTTGTGCATGGAACTGAAGAGCCGCAGCTGGACATCAAAAGAGCCGCATGCGGCTCGCGAGCCGCAGGATGCCGACCCCTGAACTAAGTCCATCATCTCTGGCGTTAACTAGGTCTAAATTAGGAATCTGAGACATATATAATTCACCTGTCTATTAAGTAAAGGTATTGTGTAGTAAGCAAAATGACCATTTTTCTTGACCTTTCCATAATTAATTAAGGTACTCTTCAGAGCTGGGTAGACTCAGTGATGCCCCATAGATTGAATTCCTGGAATCCGCGCTTGAGAATTGCAAGTTAGCATTGTTGAGTTCCAGCATTTTATAATCCCACTCCTCCCAAAATCTGGTTGTAAATACTTAGATAATTCAAACATATGAACAACGTAAAACAATGTCGTTCTACCATTACTTTTTCTAATAAATCTTCTTTATAATACAATCAAACTATGAGTGATAATACACGTACCACTAGTCAAGGTTAGCTAAATACAAGTTGTCTTACACTAAAACACGATGTCTCACACAAATGACATACAATGCTATGTAAAATGACTAAGAATTTTTTCACTGAAAACCGGATAGTTTGCTCCGTGTCAGAGGCGGGCTATTGAAACTTCCTTAAGGGGTAGGAGGCACCAAGGTTTAGTATACACCTTCCATATAAATATATTTTAACTGATTTCCTTGCGTTGGAGGGGGTGTGTACAAGTAACCTACACACCAAAATATGTATGTGTTTAAAAATATCAAACAACAAATTCTACAGTCTGTGTAAATGTTTAGTTCTGTAATTCCTGGAAATGTTTTTGACATGTATAGGTCCTTTATCATAAACCTTAGTTGTTATATATATATATATATATATATATATATATATATATATATATATATATATATATATATAAAGTACTAATAATATCCCGCACTATTATGCACATTTTATTTGGTGTACATAATTATTATTTTTACGAGACTCTATTATATCATAAAAAGTTTAAGTAATTAAAAATGGATTAAAAATATTGTCTATGACCCGAGTTGCCATCCCGCGTAGTGTTATATTAGAATATTCGAGAAAGTTTAGGGGAAAACACTCCTGGTTTATTTAACTACATTTTCTTCACTGTATCTCGTTCGATGTGTTTTTAACGAACATATAATTCAAAGGTTTAATGGCTCACAAACTTTAAAACTGGTCAAAATACAAAGAGCTGTGTGCCAAAGGTGACGGGTCGTACGGTTAGATATGGTGAAACTGCCAGATATATACTCGTGTAAACGGTGAATTTACTGGAGTGTAATGTATAGTTAAACTGTCTGACAGATACGGTTCGTAATTGGTACGTGGGTCAAGACATGAAGACAATGCATCATGACATTCAATTTGACTTAATTGGTCGCCGGATTAATTTTTTATGAATTGATTAACATTTTGTTTTTATTTACAATAGATATCATGACTAAAAACCATTGCGCAGCTATTGAACGCGATGACGCGTTTTTGTCGTGATGACGCGTGTTGATAGAACTGCCTACTAAATCTGATTGGTTTAAAAAATGTCAATTTTAGTAGACCCGCTAACAAACATTAAAAAGTCTGCCCCCACAGATTTTGCCTGCAGACTGCAGACATTAAGAAGTATGCCACTATATATTTACTTACAGACATTATAAAGTCTGCCCAATAGATTTTCCTACAGAGATTCAAAAGTCTGCCCCTATAGTTTTCCAACAGACATTAAAGTCTGCCACAATAAATCTGCTTACAGACATTAAAGTCTGCCCCTATAGATATGTATACCAGTGGCGTAGCGAGGTCGGGTGTCACCCGGTGCGGCACTTAATGGTGTCACCCCCCAGAGGCGTTGCGACCCTTCCCGGGGACAAACCTTCAAGTTTTCGATTTGCACCCCCCCCCCCTCAAACTTTCGATTTGCACCCCCACCCGCAAACTTTCTATTTGCCCACCCCCCCCCCCCCCCCTCAAGTTTTTCTCTATATATTTTGCTATTTTTTTACCTTGATGTCACCCCCCTAAATGGTGTCACCCGGTGCGGTCCGCACCCCCCGCCCCACCCACCCCCCCCCACCCCCCTCGCTACGCCCCTGCATTGGTACGAACTACAAAGCTTACTTTACATTTTTTGACTCTAGCAGTGCAGAAGGTATTTCCTTGATAGGTTTTTTTTCTTAGTTTTTCTGTCACCGCCGGTTGTTTTATTGCGGTTCCGACTTTGTAACTAGATCTATAACCTACTTATTTAGATAGGAGGCTTGTAATCTGTTACGTAGCATACAATCTGTTGTTCATTAAAAAGTAAAACATTTTTTAAAAAGGTGTTTTTATGTATATTTAATTACATTGTGTGAGTATTAGAGAGAATGGCGGGGAGGGGTCTGACTATTATTACATAAGGCAGCGTTGATGGGAGTCAGCGCCCCACCCTCCCCACATAATTTGCAATGCTAAGTTGAGCAAACCTGCGAACACTTCCTTGAGCTGCATGGAGATGGAAAATACAGGCACACAACGCTCGCTGCATTTAAGCTGAAGCTGGATATATCTGAACCAGAGGCGTAGCGATGGGGGGCAGGGGGGACATATGTCCCCGGGCGCCGACCTTAGGGGGCGCCAAAATGGGTTGTATAAACAAATTAAAATGTCATTTTAGCTGTATTTTTGCAGTTTGAGGGGGGGGGGTGCAAATCAAGAGTTTAAGGGGGGGGGGTGCAAATTGAAAATTTGCTCCCGATAGGGGGCGCCAAATTGGAAAGTTTGTCCCCGGGCGCCGGGAAGGGTCGCTACGCCTCTGATCTGAACAGGTGTCTGTAAGCGACTACAGAAGTCACATTGATTTTGAGTAAATATTCATTTTTAGTTTTTGTGTGAAAAGTTAAATGATTTTGATCTTTAAAATGAGAGATTTTGATGCACGATTCATTTTGTAGGGGAGAGTGGTGCCGACCCTAAGCGGGCGCCAAATTGAGTAGGATAAAAAATAAAAAGCTCATTTTGCGCTACATTACTGAATTATGCACAGCCAAAGTTCAGGAAATAGTCAATTACCCAGCTCTCCTGGTTGATTTAACTATCTGAGCCAGTAAAATATATAGATTGAGGCCAACCTTTGTTTTGAATTTGAAAAAGGAAATCATATTTTATTTTTCCTATTAAGAAGGGTTTGGTAAGTGCGTATAGTTTATCACTAGATCTATAAGATTAGGAAGAGAGCGGGGTTGGATACCTCCTAAAAAGTTTAGACCTTTAGCTCTAGATCTGTTCATTAAATAACATTTCAATAGTTTAAAAATGCAATATCCTAATATATAATTCCCCATGTGCGCACTTCTCTCTGTCCGCAAAATATTTTCGCCGGACATCACGTCAGAATCGGCAGCGATATATGAAGAACTTTTTACGGACTTCTATTGAAAAAAATATGTTAGATGTTTTAAATGTATAACCACAAAATTATTTAAAGAAGAAAAATAAAATATAAAGGCGTATTCAAATGTAGAGAAACAGTATTATTTATGCAACCGGAAAAGTGTATAAACTTGAGACAAGAACGCATTTAACAATGACGTCGCTTATTGTTTACACTAAAAAAAAGAGCACGAAACTGATGACATCATCTTCCGAGTTTAGAATAAAAAGAAATGAACTATTTCATTCAAATATGATTTAGAGCTATGTACGCTATGAAATGTATACAATACGATTTTCTCGGCCTAAACTTTAAAAAATTATTTTATCTATTTGTATTCTAGATCTAGAGATTCTAGATCTAGATATTGATCTCGATCTAGATATTCTAGATCATCTAGATCTAGAGATTCTAGATCTAGATGATCTATAAAAATAAAGCTAAGTTGTCGGGTGCCCGATAGGGCACTTCCCGGCGCCGCAGGCGCTTCAAATTTGGCAGGATCTTGCCTTGGGGCGACAGAACACGGGGGCCGGTTGGCCAAAAAGTCTACGATGAGGGGGTTTAAACTGACCTCGACTGACCAGCGCCAGAGGCGTAGCGATGGGGGGGGCAGGGGGGGGGGGACATATGTCCCCGGGCGCCGACCTCAGGGGGCGCCAAAATGGGTTGTAAAAACAAATTAAAATGTCAATTTAGCTGAATTTTTGCAGTTTAAGGGGGGGGGGTGCAAATCAAAAAGTTGAGGGGGGGGGGGGGTGCAAATCGAAAAGTTGAAGGGGGAGGGGGGTAGCAAATAGAAAATTTTCTCCCGTGGGGGGCGCCAAATTAAATGTTTGTCCCCGGGCGCCGGGAAGGGTCGCTACGCCTCTGACCAGCGCCTTATATGGGCGAATTAATTAAGCATTCAAATTGTCAATGTTTTCGAAAGCCTAAGCGAAGCTGGGCAGCATGCCTAGTAGTTCTATATTATGGCGCAGATATAACAACACTTTAGGAATCATTGTACAATTCTGACCCAAATTTGTGCCCCGTAATTAGGGTCTATGCTGTAGTGTAAAGAAAAACAATACTCATCCTAAACATGGGTTGCCGAGCTACTAATTTTAGCTTCATCGGCTGACAATAATCACGTGACTTTTTTAAACAAACAAAATGGCGGCTCCCTGTGAAATGAAAAGAACAGACAAGAGAAAATAAAATTAACATCAGATTAGTCTGAAAAAGTAGATCTAGAATAAAAATCTATCCTCTAAAATGTTGTTTAAATTGCTATTATTGAAAGTACTTTATTTTGTAGTTCAAGTTCAATCACTTTTAAAGCTAGATTTAGGTGGTAATTGGACGGTTTTCGATACTTCTTCAGGTAGGCCTAACTTAACTAACTAAACTTTACTAAACTATTACTATTACTATAGATATAGACTATAGACTATAGATAGTTATAGAATCTATAACTTATAGATAGTCTATAGCTATTAGGCCTAGCCTAATAATATTTAATATTATTAATATTAATTTAATAGTTAGTTGGTAGTAATAGTACTAATAGCCTATGCTAGTTTTAAGTATTTTATAATTATGAATAATTAATATGGAATTATTGGATTGGTAATATATCGTTTTAGGTGCGTAAAATCTGAGGCTAGTACTAGTAGTAGTAGTAATGTGAAAATAAAGTTGCCTCATTGTTAAAGATTAATACTTAATACTAATACAAAACAATCTACTCTACTGTTGTAGGGCTGAAGGTTCTGGGTGAGGTCCCAGGCTCCATGTACACTGCTCTACTAAAACAAGGAGTTATCCAAGACCCACTGTGGAGAGATAATGACGTAGCCTTAGCCTGGCTGGGATTGGCTAATTGGACTTATTCCAGAACTTTTACAGGTGACTAATGGTAGGCTATAGGGTCATCTGTAAATGACGTCAGCTTTTTTTGACAATTTTTACCCCCCCCCCCCCCTCCCTTCTGTCACATATCGTCACAAAAAGCCAGACCCCCCCCCTAAAATTATGTCACACCTCAGCCTACAACCCCCCTCCAATTTGCAGTTGAATTTTTCATAAAATGATAAAACATAGATATTTTTCCAAAATCTTGTCTGAACTCTGTCAAAATAGAGTATTTTAATCAATTCCTATAGTAATCTATTATTAATTTCTTTTTCTGTGCATAATATTGAAATGTATGCCTACATTGAAATTAAAGATCAGCTTTTAGATATGAAAAAATCCATTTTTTTTATAGTTTCAAATGATGTGGCAACATCCAATAGGAAACTGCTTGTGTCTGAGGGGCTAGATACCATAGCAACAGTGTTTGTAAACAATAAATTGGTTGGTCAGTCAGACAACATGTTTGTAAAATCAGTGTTTGATCTCACTAATGTCCTACAGGTAAGCTGCATATAAATATTTGTTTGCTAATTAAATGTACAGTCTGGCTAGTTGAATATATATTTTACTTGATTAAATTTATGGTAAGTATAATGACAATGATACAAATGTAAAATCTAGCCAAAAATATATAATCTAGTTAAATTTATGTATAATCAAGCTAATTAAATGTAAAATGAGATTATAAAGAAAAAAAACATAAATATTCTTACCTCAATGGTTAGAAAAACTGAGTTGTATAAACATTTTTAAAATTCTGATTACTCAAGCTGGATTTAATTATGTCACTAGCAACTAGGATGAGTGGTTTATTTATTTATTTATTATTGTTATCAGTGTGAAACATAACTTATCAATTGCGTAATTTAATGTTGAATTACTTTTTTTGCAGAGTGGTGATAACTCTATAACTATCCAGTTTTCCTCAGCCGTGAGGGAGGCTGGTTACAGGGCTAACCATTCATCATATGTTATCCCACCTGAATGTCCACCTGCTGTCCAGAACGGGCAGTGTCACGTTAACCAGGTCCGCAAGGAGCAGTGCTCATTTAGCTGGGACTGGGGTCCTTCATTTCCAACCCAAGGTGTTTGGTAAGAGATTTGAGGGCATTTGGTAAGAGGTTTGGGGGCATTTGGTAAGAGGTTTGGGGGCATTTGGTAAGAGGTTTGGGGGCATTTGGTAAGAGGTTAGGGGGCATTTGGTAAGAGGTTAGGGGGCATTTGGTAAGAGGTTTGGGGGCATTTGGTAAGAGGTTTGGGGGCATTTGGTAAGAGGTTAGGGGGCATTTGGTAAGAGGTTTGGGGGCATTTGGTAAGAGGTTAGGGGGCATTTGGTAAGAGGTTAGGGGGCATTTGGTAAGAGGTTAGGGGGCATTTGGTAAGAGGTTTGGGGGCATTTGGTAAGAGGTTTGGGGGCATTTGGTAAGAGGTTAGGGGGCATTTGGTAAGAGGTTTGGGGGCATTTGGTAAGAGGTTAGGGGGCATTTGGTAAGAGGTTTGGGGGCATTTGGTAAGAGGTTTGGGGGCATTTGGTAAGAGGTTTGGGGGCATTTGGTAAGAGGTAAGGGGGCATTTGGTAAGAGGTAAGGGGGCATTTGGTAAGCTAGAGTCTAGAGGTCAGGTTCACTTGGTGAATTAAGGTTCAGAGTTCAGAGGTATTTGGAAAGTTAGGGTTCAAGGGTCATGGGCATTAGGTGAGCTAGGGTTCAGAGGTAATTGTAAATTTAATTTCAGTTGTCAGAAGTATTTAGGTATCAAATGTGTAACCCAATAAGGCTAAAGTTTATTGATAGCATTTGAAAAATACATATTCGTATACTATTGACAGTTTTACAGAACAAGGCATTCATGCAATTTATTTTTTTAAATCCTAACATTTAGTCTTTTTAACATTCTTTATTTTTTATTTTTTTTTTGTTAAAGTTTATTATAATTTTTGTCATAAAGAGTTAAGGTAGGAACATCTAAAAAAAATTTCAGGAAACCAATTTACATCATTGCTTACATTCAAGTCTCCATGTTGGATGCTACTGCTGTTGTTAATAAAGGTAAGATCATGTTGGCCTGCATCAAATCAATTGTTAAACCACTTCTAAGAGCCATTGAACCATTTAAAATATGTGGGAAAAAACAATTTGTTTGCAACATAGTAGACTAAGAAAATGAAGGATTAAAATATATAAATACCATGATTATTTTGGCCTATTTTTCTTTACTTTAACGCTTTCTATTTGTTGAGAATACATGATTGTTGTCTGTTATACTGATAAGTCTCCATCTTTGCTGATATTGTTGAATATATTTTTCACACATTCTAATTCATTTGGAGAATTTGAAGCTGGTTAAAGCTAAATGTAGAAAGAAAACTTAATCTGGTTAAAGCTAAGATAGTCAGTGATACAGATTAATGTTGGAGAATCTTTTGGTTGCAGTCAACTCTCAGTGGCAAGTGGTGGGTGAGGTGTTGCTGGGGGTGGCCCCAGGACCTGAAGTTCAAGGCCACCTCACTGCTGCAATACCAGGCCTTAACCTGACGTACAGCCAAGATGTTGTGATGTCGTCAACAAACTCTACGCTCAGGTTTACAATAGACGTACCAGAGGTAAATATTTGGCTTGTGTAACATAAGAACATTTGTGCTAATAGCGGATAATTGTGGATGGGATGACTGGTGGAGCACACGACTGCTGGCTAGACTCAGATATCCCAGAATCCAACTAGACTTGAGGTGCTAAAAGTTGTTTGAGAAGAGCATTGTATAAGCTTTATTGGTGGGATTAAGTATGATAGCTATGTTTAAGTTAAAAGTGTATCAGTGAGGTTATGTGAGGTTAGGGTTAGGTTATGTGAGGTTAGGGTTAGGTTATGTGAGGTTATGTTTAAGTTAAAAGTGTATCAGTATATAACATTGTATGAGCTTTATTGGTGGGATTAAGTATCATAGTTATGTTTAAGTTAAAAGTCTATCAGTATATAAAATTGCAAACTATTGACATATTTGTTTGAGTTTTTAATTTTTAAAAGAATCTGGGCTATGTTAAAATTAAAAGTGAAATGACAGAGAAAAAAAAAGTTATATACATGGCTAATGAATTATGTCTTTGAGTTTTTTAATGTAATATAGTATGTGTGTTGAAGTTATAAAAACTGCCAACATAATTGATGGACTCTGAATCACACTGCCAGTCTTGTGTCTACAGACCAAACAAGTGTCCCTGTGGTGGCCCAATGGTTATGGGGATCAGGTTTTGTACGATGTTGATGTGGTGTTGACCACAGCGCTGGACAAGTCCCAGAAGTCCCTGAGGGTTGGATTCAGGACTGTGGAGCTGGTACAGGACCCTGTGTCCAGCAATTTACAGGATGGTGAGGGTTATCTGGCTAGGTTAGGTTATGTAAGGTTAGGGTTAGGTTATGTGAGGTTAGGTTATGTGAGGTTAGGGTTAGGTTATGTGAGGTTAGGGTTAGGTTATGTCAGATTAGGGTTAGGTCACCCCAGGTTAGGGCTAAGTAATGTGAGGTTAGGGTTAGGTTATGTCAGATTAGGGTTAGGTCACCCCAGGTTAGGGTTAAGTAATGTGAGGTTAGGGTTAGGTTATGTCAGGTTAGGGTTAGGTAGTGTAAAAACATGATTAGGTAATGTATTAGATTTTCTCACTGGGTTAGGTTCTCTTAGCCATAAAAAAGTGTTTTCCCTAGAGATGGCATAAGGTGTTTGTGTGCTAGCTTTAATGTTATTCATTAATGTTAGATTTATCAGTCTGTTGAATTTTATTTCATTAATTATATTTCAGGTTTGACTTTTTACTTTCGCATCAATGACATTCCCGTTTTCCTAAAGGGAAGTAATTGGATTCCAGCTGATAGTTTTCAGGAGAGAGTTACAGAACCTCGTTTAGAGTATCTTCTTCAGTCAGCTGCTTCAGTCCACATCAATGCCATGCGGGTCTGGGGTGGTGGAGTAAGTTCAGGGTTTGTTGTATGTATCTTAAGTATCTTAAGTATCTGTAAGTCTTGGTTTTATTATACAAACATGTTACACACAAAAGAAAAAACACCACCTTTCAACTTGCTCACAAATATACTCTAAAAACCATATATATAGACCTACAATTGATTGTATTGATAGTTTTCTTTTATTCTAGTGTTATAAGCCTGTGTTAGAACATATAGAAATAATTAATGTCTTTTTTTTCCTATTTAGTGATAAAGCATGTTTGATAGCATTTTTCTGTTGGTATTAACTACTGTGAGACTTAGTTAAAAGTATTAGATGTAGTATCAGGATGCTGCTTTTAACTTATTGAATGTTGTGTCAGGTGTATGAATCAGATGAGTTCTACCACCTGTGATGTTGAATGTTGTGTCAGGTGTATGAGTCAGATGAGTTCTACCACCTGTGTTGTTGAATCTTGTGTCAGGTGTATGAATCAGATGAGTTCTACCACCTGTGTTAACTTACTGAATGTTGTGTCAGGTGTATGAATCAGATGAGTTCTACCACCTGTGTTGTTGAATCTTGTGTCAGGTGTATGAATCAGATGAGTTCTACCACCTGTGTTAACTTATTGAATGTTGTGTCAGGTGTATGAATCAGATGAGTTCTACCACCTGTGATGTTGAATGTTGTGTCAGGTGTATGAATCAGATGAGTTCTACCACCTGTGTTAACTTATTGAATGTTGTGTCAGGTGTATGAATCAGATGAGTTCTACCACCTGTGTTAACTTATTGAATGTTGTGTCAGGTGTATGAATCAGATGAGTTCTACCACCTGTGTTGTTGAATGTTGTGTCAGGTGTATGAATCAGATGAGTTCTACCACCTGTGTTAACTTATTGAATGTTGTGTCAGGTGTATGAATCAGATGAGTTCTACCACCTGTGTTAACTTATTGAATGTTGTGTCAGGTGTATGAATCAGATGAGTTCTACCACCTGTGTTGTTGAATGTTGTGTCAGGTGTATGAATCAGATGAGTTCTACCACCTGTGTTAACTTATTGAATGTTGTGTCAGGTGTATGAATCAGATGAGTTCTACCACCTGTGTTAACTTATTGAATGTTGTGTCAGGTGTATGAATCAGATGAGTTCTACCACCTGTGTTGTTGAATGTTGTGTCAGGTGTATGAATCAGATGAGTTCTACCACCTGTGTTGTTGAATGTTGTGTCAGGTGTATGAATCAGATGAGTTCTACCACCTGTGTTGTTGAATGTTGTGTCAGGTGTATGAATCAGATGAGTTCTACCACCTGTGTTGTTGAATGTTGTGTCAGGTGTATGAATCAGATGAGTTCTACCACCTGTGTTAACTTATTGAATGTTGTGTCAGGTGTATGAATCAGATGAGTTCTACCACCTGTGTTAACTTATTGAATGTTGTGTCAGGTGTATGAATCAGATGAGTTCTACCACCTGTGTTGTTGAATGTTGTGTCAGGTGTATGAATCAGATGAGTTCTACCACCTGTGTTGTTGAATGTTGTGTCAGGTGTATGAATCAGATGAGTTCTACCACCTGTGTTGTTGAATGTTGTGTCAGGTGTATGAATCAGATGAGTTCTACCACCTGTGTTGTTGAATGTTGTGTCAGGTGTATGAATCAGATGAGTTCTACCACCTGTGTTGTTGAATGTTGTGTCAGGTGTATGAATCAGATGAGTTCTACCACCTGTGTTGTTGAATGTTGTGTCAGGTGTATGAATCAGATGAGTTCTACCACCTGTGTTATTGAATGTTGTGTCAGGTGTATGAATCAGATGAGTTCTACCACCTGTGTTAACTTACTGAATCTTGTGTCAGGTGTATAAATCAGATGAGTTTTACCACCTGTGTTGTTGAATGTTGTGTCAGGTGTATGAATCAGATGAGTTCTACCACCTGTGTTGTTGAATGTTGTGTCAGGTGTATGAATCAGATGAGTTCTACCACCTGTGTTATTGAATGTTGTGTCAGGTGTATGAATCAGATGAGTTCTACCACCTGTGTTGTTGAATGTTGTGTCAGGTGTATGAATCAGATGAGTTCTACCACCTGTGTTGTTGAATGTTGTGTCAGGTGTATGAATCAGATGAGTTCTACCAACTGTGTTGTTGAATGTTGTGTCAGGTGTATGAATCAGATGAGTTCTACCACCTGTGTTAACTTATTGAATGTTGTGTCAGGTGCATGAATCAGATGAGTTCTACCACCTGTGTTGTTGAATGTTGTGTCAGGTGTATGAATCAGATGAGTTCTACCACCTGTGTTAACTTATTGAATGTTGTGTCAGGTGTATGAATCAGATGAGTTCTACCACCTGTGTTGTTGAATGTTGTGTCAGGTGTATGAGTCAGATGAGTTCTACCACCTGTGTTAACTTATTGAATGTTGTGTCAGGTGTATGAATCAGATGAGTTCTACCACCTGTGTTGTTGAATGTTGTGTCAGGTGTATGAATCAGATGAGTTCTACCACCTGTGTTGTTGAATGTTGTGTCAGGTGTATGAATCAGATGAGTTCTACCACCTGTGTTGTTGAATGTTGTGTCAGGTGTATGAATCAGATGAGTTCTAACACCTGTGTTAACTTATTGAATGTTGTGTCAGGTGTATGAATCAGATGAGTTCTACCACCTGTGTTAACTTATTGAATGTTGTGTCAGGTGTATGAATCAGATGAGTTCTACCACCTGTGTTATTGAATGTTGTGTCAGGTGTATGAATCAGATGAGTTCTACCACCTGTGTTGTTGAATGTTGTGTCAGGTGTATGAATCAGATGAGTTCTACCACCTGTGTTATTGAATGTTGTGTCAGGTGTATGAATCAGATGAGTTCTACCACCTGTGTTGTTGAATCTTGTGTCAGGTGTATGAATCAGATGAGTTCTACCAACTGTGTGACCTGCTGGGCATCATGATCTGGCAAGACTTCATGTTTAGTGTAGCATTGTACCCGACCTACCAAAGTTTTCTCAACTCTGTGGCCACAGAAGTTAGACAACAGGTAGGAGGTTTTGGTATACCTAATTAAATACAGACACTCCTAATTTGGTTAATTATTGACCCCACTCATTTGTTTAATGACTAAGACAGAATAACCCATGCAATCTTACTAGTGATGACTGGTGTTTGAAGTTAGTAAAACTCACTACTAAAATGATACAGTTTGTTACATCTCAGGGGAGGGTGGGGTGTTTTAGCCTTATTTCAACCTTTTTTTTCTAATCCTACAGCTGATTTATATATATTATATAGTTTTCTGTCTTCATATTTTTATCTGCTAACTACTTACACTAGAACTCAGGAATCGTATATTTAAAACATTATCTTTAAAAATACCTAGTAAATCAGTTGAGATGGTAAATCGTTGAGGATGATTCTGTGTTACAAATATTTGCACCTTGTTACCCAGGTGAGGAGGCTCAAGTCCCACCCATCTGTCATCGTGTGGGCCGGCAACAACGAGAATGAGAAAGGTCTGAGACAGAACTGGTTCAACACGGAGAAGAACTTCACCCTCTACTACAATGACTACATCGACCTGTATGTCAAGACCATCAAACCCTTTGGTAAGTGCTTACCACTCTCCATACAAACCTGTTTGCAGGCTTCCGCTGTTCTCCGTATAAACCTATTTTAGGCTCCTACCAATTTTCCATACAAACCTGTTTAGGCTTCAACTATTCTCCATACAAACCCATCCAGTGTTTCGACTTGCTTCGGGGGACGGACACTGTTAAAAGTATGTATTTCTATATAAATTATGTAAATTTCATTTCGTTCGGGGGGGGGGGGGGGGCAAAAGAAACTCTGAACCTATTGGTAAGTTCTTACTATTTTCAATACAGTATTACAATGAGCTGTTACCAAATAATTTCCTAACTCTCCTACTGAAGAGTTCACCAATCTGAAGATATATTTTCTCTGGCCAGTGAATGAAGAGGACCCCAGCAGAGAATATCTGACCTCAAGTCCATCTAATGGTAAAGAGAGTGTCCAGGAAGGTTACGTAGCTCTTGACCCTGACAGTGAGCGGTACGGGGACAGTACGTACACAAGCATTTCTTTATAATTTCACATTAATTAATGATTAACATCTTCCCACTTAAAATTTAAGTTTCTTTTTGTTTGAATAATAAATAGCCTCCATGAAATTGATTTAGTATCAAAATTGTTTTTTTTTACAGTTCACTTCTACGATTACATTCTTGACCAGTGGATGTGGCAGGGGTTCCGGGTGCCACGGATGGCATCCGAGTACGGCATCCAAGCCTGGTGTAACAATGAAACTCTGGCCAAAGTTCTCCTGCCGTCTGATTTTGTCTTGGACTCAGACATGGTCAAACATAGGCAGCATCATGCCATGGGTAGGCCCTACTTGAAGGCTTTTTTCACACTCTGAGTACACCTTGTCCAACAGTTTTTTCACACTATGAGTACACATAGTCCAACAGTTTTTTCACACTATGAGTACACCTAGTCCAACAGCTTTTTCACACTATGACTACACCTTGTCCAACAGTTTTTTCACACCATGAGTACACCTTGTCCAACAGTTTTTTCACACCATGAGTACACCTAGTCCAACGGCTTTTTCACACTATGAGTACACCTTGTCAAACAGTTTTTTCACACTATGAGTACACCTAGTCCAACAGTTTTTTCACACTATGAGTACACCTAGTCCAACAGTTTTTTCACACTATGAGTACACCTAGTCCAACAGTTTTTTCACACTATGAGTACACCTAGTCCAACAGTTTTTTCACACTATGAGTACACCTTGTCCAACAGTTTTTTCACACTATGAGTACACCTTGTCCAACAGTTTTTTCACACTATGAGCTCACGCTCCCAAAGTATTTTTATCTCAACTCATATGCTTGTTTAGTGTGGAGCATGGGTTGGCAAACTTGTCTGGAGCTACTCCACCTAGTTTGTTCATTTATATTTTATTGTGCTAAACATTTTAAGATTGAAGCATTCAAAATTATATCTTACTTTGTATGTCTAAAATACTACAATATTTGACTCATCTAGGTTAAAAAAAATGTCAGATATATTTTTTAAAACAACTTTTTGTCTTCCAATGAGATGTAAGCTGCTATGTAATCCCATTTTGATGACCTAGTTTTGATGACCTAGTCTACCCTGTCATAAACCAGGCTCATCAAATGAAATGACCACTCATTTAAGTTGCATAACTTTTTACCCAGAACTTTTAAGATTGAGCTCAGACTGAGATCTCTTGATATCCCAGCTTTATCAGATACTTGACATCTATTGGGAGAGCATATGTTATTATGAACGCTACATGTTAAGCTTAAGTGTGCCCTACCTTGTTGTACTGGTCATGTTTGGTCAAGAATTTGGTGACCATAATAATATGTAATTGTGAAGGCTACATGTATCTAATGTACCAATTGTTTGATCACCAGGTAATGAAGAAATGGGGGCTGAGATTGGAGCTCACCTGAAGCTGCCAACGTCTTTAGACGAACAGAAGAAAATGTCAGATTTTATTTACCTAAGTCAGGTGAGTAGAGCCAGGTACAGGTGGAAGATTGGGTTGTCATGGGACAGGTGGGACAGTGGGTTGTTATGGGACAGGTAGGACATTGGGTTGTCATGGGACAGGTAGGACAGTGGGTTGTCATGGGACAGGTAGGACAGTGGGTTGTCATGGTACAGGTAGGACATTGGGTTGTCATGGTACAGGTGGTACAGTGGGTTGTCATGGGGTGGAACAGTGGGTTGTCATGGTACAGGTAGGACATTGGGTTGTCATGGGACAGGTAGGACAGTGGGTTGTCATGGGACAGGTTGAACAATGGGTTGTCATGGGACAGGTAGGACAGTGGGTTGTCATGGGACAGGTAGGACAAAAACATTGGGTTGTCATGGGACAGGTAGGACAGTGGGTTGTCATGGGACAGGTAGGACATTGGGTTGTCATGGGGCAGGTAGTACAGTGGGTTGTCATGGGACAGGTAGGACAGTGGGTTGTCATGGGACAGGTTGAACAATGGGTTGTCATGGTACAGGTAGGACAGTGGGTTGTCATGGGACAGGTAGGACAAAAACATTGGGTTGTCATGGGACAGGTAGGACAGTGGGTTGTCATGGGACAGGTAGGACAGTGGGTTGTCATGGGACAGGTAGGACAGTGGGTTGTCATGGGACAGGTAGGACAAAAACATTGGGTTGTCATGGGACAGGTAGGACAGTGGGTTGTCATGGGACAGGTAGGACAAAAACATTGGGTTGTCATGGGACAGGTAGGACAGTGGGTTGTCATGGGACAGGTAGGACAAAAACATTGGGTTGTCATGGTACAGGTAGGACAGTGGGTTGTCATGGGACAGGTAGGACAAAAACATTGGGTTGTCATGGGACAGGTAGGACAGTGGGTTGTCATGGGACAGGTAGGACAGTGGGTTGTCATGGGACAGGTAGGACATTGGGTTGTCATGGGGCAGGTAGTACAGTGGGTTGTCATGGGACAGGTAGGACATTGGGTTGTCATGGGACAGGTAGGACAGTGGGTTGTCATGGGACAGGTTGAACAATGGGTTGTCATGGTACAGGTAGGACAGTGGGTTGTCATGGGACAGGTAGGACAAAAACATTGGGTTGTCATGGGACAGGTAGGACAGTGGGTTGTCATGGGACAGGTAGGACAGTGGGTTGTTATGGGACAGGTAGGACAGTGGGTTGTTATGGGACAGGTAGGACAGTGGGTTGTCATGGGACAGGTTGAACAATGGGTTGTCATGGTACAGGTAGGACAGTGGGTTGTCATGGGACAGGTAGGACAAAAACATTGGGTTGTCATGGGACAGGTAGGACAGTGGGTTGTCATGGGACAGGTAGGACAGTGGGTTGTCATGGGACAGGTAGGACAGTGGGTTGTCATGGGACAGGTAGGACAGTGGGTTGTCATGGGACAGGTAGGACAGTGGGTTGTCATGGCACAGGTAGGACAGTGGGTTGTCATGGCACAGGTAGGACAGTGGGTTGTCATGGGACAGGTAGGACAGTGGGTTGTCATAGGACAGGTTGGACAGTGGGTTGTCATGGGACAGGTAGGACAAAAACATTGGGTTGTCATGGGACAGGTAGGACAGTGGGTTGTGGTGGTACAGGTAGGACAGTGGGTTGTCATGGGACAGGTTGAACAATGGGTTGTCATGGTACAGGTAGGACAGTGGGTTGTCATGGGACAGGTAGGACAAAAACATTGGGTTGTCATGGGACAGGTAGGACAGTGGGTTGTCATGGGACAGGTAGGACAGTGGGTTGTCATGGGACAGGTAGGACAGTGGGTTGTCATGGGACAGGTAGGACAACAACATTGGGTTGTCATGGGACAGGTAGGACAGTGGGTTGTCATGGGACAGGTAGGACAAAAACATTGGGTTGTCATGGTACAGGTAGGACAGTGGGTTGTCATGGGACAGGTAGGACAAAAACATTGGGTTGTCATGGGACAGGTAGGACAGTGGGTTGTGATGGTACAGGTAGAACAGTGGGTTGTCATAGGACAGGTAGAACAGTGGGTTGTCATGGGACAGGTAGGACAAAAACATTGGGTTGTCATAGGACAGGTAGGACAGTGGGTTGTCATGGGACAGGTAGGACAAAAACATTGGGTTGTCATGGGACAGGTAGGACAGTGGGTTGTGATGGTACAGGTAGAACAGTGGGTTGTCATAGGACAGGTAGAACAGTGGGTTGTCATGGGACAGGTTGAACATTGGGTTGTCATGGGACAGGTAGGACAGTGGGTTGTCATAGGACAGGTTGGACAGTGGGTTGTCATAGGACAGGTTGGACAGTGGGTTGTCATGGTACAGGTAGAACAGTGGGTTGTCATGGGACAGGTAGGACATTGGGTTGTCATGGGACAGGTTGGACATTGGGTTGTCATGGTACAGGTAGGACATTGGGTTGTCATGGGACAGGTTGGACATTGGGTTGTCATGGCACAGATGAAATAATGGGTTGTCATGGGATGGAACAGTAGGTTGTCATGGTACAGAAAAAAGAGATTGTAAGGTTCAGTGGAATGTATACTCATCTTTGGATATATAAGAATAGGTTGGATAGATAAGAATAGATTGGATAGATAGGAATAGGTTGGATAGATAGGAATAGATTGGATAGGTAGGAATATGTTGGATAGATAGAAATAGATTGGATAGATAGGAATATGTTGGATAGATAGAAATAGATTGGATGGATAGAAACAGGATGGATAGATATAGGAATATGTTGGATAGATAGAAATAGATTGGATAGATAGGCATATGTTGGATAGATAGGAATAGGTTGGATAGATAGGAATAGGTTGGATAGATTGGAATAGATAGGAATATATTGGATAGAATCTTAAGCAAATCTTTGAAGAAACAAAAAAGATATTTCCTGTTCCTGTGAGCAGATCAACCAAGCCATGTCAATCCGCACCCAGACAGAACATTACAGACGTCATCAGTCACAGCTCCTGTCAGATGGTAGAGGGTTAACCATGGGGGCTTTGTACTGGCAGCTCAATGACATATGGCAGGCTCCTACATGGGCTTCTATTGGTGAGTCACATTTAAGGGGCTTTGTACTGGCAGCTCAATGATATATGGCAGGCTCCTACATGGGCTTCTATTGGTGAGTCACAGGGTGGGGGCTTTGTACTGGCAGCTCAATGATATATGGCAGGCTCCTACATGGGCTTCTATTGGTGAGTCACAGGGTGGGGGCTTTGTACTGGCAGCTCAATGATATATGGCAGCTCCTACATGGGCTTCTATTGGTAAGTCACATCCAAGGGCTTTGATAATCAAAGTTTTGTTAATTAATTATCCAATCTTCTTGAAACTTTTAAGTGTATGCCATGAGGTTGTTCATCATTATCATTTGTTATTTTTGTTATTATGTTTATTAGTCAGACCTTTAGAAGGTAGTTTGTGCATGGGATGTAATTAAACTCCTTCTGGTTCGGTGATTTCCTTATAGAACTGGCTGTAAAATGTGCCAGTTTGACTATATTATAAAATCTAATTCTAATCAAATGGATGTCTTTGTTACCAGACTATGATGGCAAGTGGAAGATGTTGCACTACTATGCCAGATCATTTTTCAACAAACATCTTATCTCCCCTTACTTCCTCACTGATGACACACTGGATGTCTACATTGTAGTTGATGAGATTCCAATCAAAGAGGGGAGGTCATCTGATGGTGATTTTTTTTTTAAATAATTCTTTCTACAATCAGTTTACTTATTCAAATAGTTATTATACCTGGATTATATCTTTCATCTTACAGTGTGTCATTACCTCTAGTTCTATACTATGTAGCAAGGAATCTAGCAAATAATATTGTATTGGTGTTTTTCTTTGTTTATTTTTTTAATTTTCTATTATTCTATTTTAATTTTTACAATTTTTAATCAAATGAAAAATATTTTTTTATTAAAATACTAGGAAATTTAAAAATTCTCATTATCAAAAAAATTTTCATAAGCATTAAACTTTTTAAAAGCTTGGTAATATCTTGTTTGGGAGTATGATATTGTATGTATGTCTTTTTTATAGTTTCTGTGACTATTCATTTTCATTTTTGCAGGTCTTTTGACATTTAAGCCTTTGCATCACCCAAAATCTGGCATACTAAAGGAGCTCAGATCTCAAGACATTTATAGCAGACTACAAAAAGTGAAATCTTTAACAAATGGATCCCTACAAATAGACGTGTACCAATACTCAAGCTTTCAGCCCCTGCATTCTTGGAACATTTCATATACTGTAAGACTTCAACAGTTTGACTTCCATTTTTAAATCTAACTTTTTAAATTATTAAATTAACAAGATATTAGCCTAAGTCATATATTTTTTTAATTAAATTTAAATATTTTCAAAAGTTTTTTCAGCTACTAATTATTGATTTTAAATATTTTCAACTATTTATTCTGTCACCAGTTAAAGACAACAGCTGAGTCAGTTTACAGGGAAAAGTTGAGTACAATTCTCACTCAGTCTGGGTGCCCAGCCAAAGAAAGCTGTATCTTGTTTTTTACTGCTAAAGATTACACTGGAGCACAATTGTCTGTATCTTGGTTTTCCCTGTCTTACCCCAAGTATTCAAACCTTGAGTCTGCCAGCGTTGTGGTAAGAAAATATAAATGTTTTTGTCTACTAGGTGAAATTGGTTATTTAATCTTCAATGAGAAATATTAATAAATGTAAAATGTTTTTTTATGTTAATTAAATTGCTCCATTAGAAAAAGATTTTGCAATTACATAACTTAAAAATAACTAAAATATCAGCTAGCACCTAACCTTTTAATTCTACCACTTGTGGCTGAACTAAAACTGTAACCTGTTTACCCTACAACCAGCTGAACTAAAACTGTAACCTGTTTACCCTATAACCAGCTGAACTAAAACTGTAACCTGTTTACCCTACAACCAGCAGCTAAAACTGTAACCTGTTTACCCTACAACCAGCTGAACTAAAACTGTAACCTGTTTACCCTACAACCAGCTGAACTGTAACCTGTTTACCCTACAACCAGCTGAACTAAAACTGTTTACCCTACAACCAGCTAAACTAAAACTGTTTACCCTACAACCAGCTGAACTAAAACTGTAACCTGTTTACCCTACAACCAGCTAAACTAAAACTGTAACCTGTTTACCCTACAACCAGCTGAACTGTAACCTGTTTACCCTACAACCAGCTGAACTAAAACTGTTTACCCTACAACCAGCTAAACTAAAACTGTTTACCCTACAACCAGCTGAACTAAAACTGTAACCTGTTTACCCTACAACCAGCTAAACTAAAACTGTAACCTGTTTACCCTACAACCAGCTGAACTGTAACCTGTTTACCCTACAACCAGCTGAACTAAAACTGTTTACCCTACAACCAGCTAAACTAAAACTGTTTACCCTACAACCAGCTGAACTGTAACCTGTTTACTCTACAGATCACTGATGTAAACAAGATAAACAGCACAACTTTCCAGATCAAGTTCACCAGCACTGCCGTAGCCCTGTTTGTCTGGCTGTCCACAGACAACACCCGTGGATATTTCTCGGATAATGGATTCCCCATGTTTACACAGGAAGCGGCTGTTTTTTTTTACACAGTGACAGATGTCAGCGCTGACAGTTTGAGAAGAGAGTTGCATGTGAGAAACTTGATGGATGTAGACACTAGCCTTCATGTTGATACAGACCTTCATGCTGATACAGACCTTCATGCTGATACAGACCTTCATGCTGATACAGACCTTCATGCTGATACAGACCTTCATGCTGATACAGACCTTCATGCTGATACAGACCTTCATGCTGATACAGACCTTCATGCTGATACAGACCTTCATGCTGATACAGACCTTCATGCTGATACAGACCTTCATGCTGATACAGACCTTCATGCTGATACAAGCCTTCATGTGGATAGAGGCCTTCATTTAGATACAAATTTTCATGTTGATACAAGCCATTATGATAATGTTGATAATATTGCTGTAGAAGTCAGTTGATGTATAGATGAGCTGCTACTGTAATAGTTCAGCCTCAATTACATCACTTGTCAACAAACTTGTAAACAAAAATCATAATCTAAACCCAGACACTAATATAATACTAGGCTGGTAGCCTCTAGACTTCCCATTCTTGGTCAAGTATTATCAAGTTAAAACAAATGAAAAAATGAATTTGAATTTCTCAACTTCTACAGCTTCTGTGATTTGTTTATGTTTTTATCATCAGTACTAACATACCATTAGATTTACAGTGTGTAAAATTGTTATGATTAATAATTAATTAATCATGATAATTATTGTGATCATTAAAAAGATTTCCTAGTTATCCTGTTAATGTAAACATGACATACATTCTTTTGTTTGAATTAAAGATTTTTATAACAAATATTTTAGTTTGGTAAAATTGTTATATTTTTTAACTGTAACTGTCTGTCGGGTATTTAATTGTCTAGTACATTCTATGAACAGCGTTGTATTTTTAATTAAGTTGTATGGAAAAAAAACCTATGTCAGTAAAATAATATTTTAGTAACCAGCCTTAGCTCAACTAGAGATGCCAACAAAGCTGAATTCTAAAGTCCTCTGTACTGTTGGTTAAACCACACATTGATATGTGTCAGGTCTACAGCAATACTTCTGTGTCCTCGAACCAGCGAACCAGCGGTTACTGGCATGCCAAAATGATTATACTGTCTAGACAAAGATAATAAACTAGAGAAACTTTTTTTTTAAGAAGGGAGATAAACCACAAATACTTCTGGAACAAGGGAGATCGTCTAACATGAATTTTTATACAAGGGAGGTAATTACATATTTTAGTATATAAGTCTACTTTCTGAAACCAAGAGGGAATAATATAAAATAAGAGTGCTACACGTTTCACGTCCAGAGTTTCTTCCAGGCATCTCTTCGGGGGGGGGGGGGACAAAGCCCCCCCCCCCCCCGAAAAATTTTTACCGCCCCCCCCCCCCGAACGAAATGAAATGTATATAATTTATATAGAAACTATATACTTTTAACAGTGTCCGCCCCCCCCCCCCCGAAGTAAGTTTACCGCCCCCCCCCCCGAAGATTTCAAGTGCCCCCCCCCCCCCCCGGAGAAAAAAGTCTGGAAGAAACACTGTTCACGTCTACGGCATATAATAAGGGTTAAAACAGACTACTCCTCGCCATAATGTGCCTATTTATCACTTAGATCTAAATCTAGATCTCTAGATCTAGAATCTAGTAGATCTAGTAGATTCTCTTGATAACGCTTGCCTCAAGTGAAGAAAACTAATTAAACTATGGTCGATATTTTAAGTGCTTTTTATTTTATCTGAAACTTTTGATTAAGAAACTTGTTATTGCGGGTTCTGTTGTACTTAAATTAAAATTTCTTTCTGTGGATGTTACATGGATGAATCATTTATACTATATAGATCTAGCCATGATGGCGAAAACACTGTTTGTTGTTTTTCTCACTCTCTTCTTGTCTTCGGTCTCCGCATTTTCTAGAGTTGATTTGACGGGAGACAACTGGATTGTTTATTCACGAGTCAATACGAGTAGGTTATCTTTACATTCATTCATTGGAATTTTTCTTTTCTTAGTTATTTTATATTTTATATATTTAGAACAGCTAAAATGATGATTTGCTTATGTTAAGATTTTTATAAAATAGCCAACATTAAGTTACCACTTCGGAAATAGAGATCAATGACATGAGGCAGATAAAGTAGAGTTTATCTGTTTTTTATACGCCAACGGGCTATTTTTTAATTTATTTTGTAATTTAAAATATGGCAGAATACCCTACTTACTAGACTCTAGATCTAGTATTTAATAAACTCCAGCTGCACCCATTTTATATTACAATATAAATCTAGTAGTATATAACCTACTAGAATCTAGGTTATATACTACATTTGGCTAGATGTAAAATGTCTTATGATTACATTTAAAACCCTGTTTCCAGGTTTCCTAACGACAGGTCGAGTTCCAGGTTCCGTCCACACTGACCTGCTCAGGGCTGGCATCATACCTGACCCCCTG